ACTTAATCTGCACCTCTACTGGCGATACGTATGTCGGCAGAAGAAAAGTCATTCCCAACGTAATTCCGCAAATCATTCCCTTCACTAGTCCGTGCATCGCAATTCGATATTTAATTTGAGACTAGTATCTCGATGGATTCCGCCACAGAGTCGGGTAATGTTGAGCCGAAGCTCAGACGCTGGCATAGGCTTGGCAATTTTTGAGGCACTGTTCGATGCTGCTGTTTCAGATTAAGCGGTCATCGATATTTACTGACTGACTGGAGACTGTTTTGTTTGTCTCGCTCTCTGAGCATCTCCGACAGCAGCCATGACTCAAGATCTAGATCCCATGCCCGGTTGAAATACGTGCTCATAAATAGTTGTTTATGAGGTTATTTGATTAGACGACGGCTTGGACTTATTGGAGCATCTGCATTGGCAGATGTAGGTAGCATCACTTTATTCATTACGCTAATCACGAAACATGTTTCTTCAAGTTATACGCCATATAACATGTATAATCATAAGAAATATGGATCGTACATCCAAGGGTGGAAAAAGAAAACGAGTGATTATAACCGCTGTAATGTCGGTCTTCCTTACACTTTCATGACCGGACCTTTTCTGGCGACCTTTACATAAAGTTAACGCAGGAGCGCTGATCTGTGCTACCATGCGATCGGCCAGTAGTGCCTCATTTTTTAAAGGTAATGACAGCACTCTTGAGGGAGGTAAGCATAGTGTGTAGTTTCCTGTTTCGTTCCCACGGTATGACCGTCTGACCTGTGGGCGTTAACAAACAAATAGCTAACTGAAGCCACATAATATACATGTCTGATGAACAAACGGCAAGACAAGCAACGTGAGAAAAACACCTTATATTACGCAGTAAGTCGTCCATGCAATTTACTGCTAAAAAACAGTGACGGCAGTGGACGTTTACAGATCTGAAAAATGGGAAACAACTTTCAAATTTCGTATGGAATCACTTTACTATTCGACATAGATAAGGAGAAAACCGGGAAATTAAAATGAAAAATTAACTACAGGAACAGAAAACAGCAACCAATAGTATGGTCATAACTGTTAAAGAATATATATGCTTTAACAAAGCTGTTTGACAAGGAGCATAGTTAGGTGGTAGCGTTGTTTAACTGGGTTGCAGGCGCGGCGGGTGCGAGCTGAAGCTGGAACGATGGGTTTTTGGTAGAGCCGCGGCCAGGCATGAATATCAGTAGACGAGGATCTGGTCGATGTGTTGTGCGACAGGCACCATGCCAGCCTATCATGTAACAGATGGGCGTTGTTGTTAAGAATGCTGTTCCCACGCGAAAACCATGTCACTGCCTATTGGACAGCATGCAATGCTGAACACTTTAAAGGAAGACTAAATTATCTAGTGTGAAGTCCCTGTTAGGTTCCTCTTAGTTCTTGTTGCAACAACACAACGTATAGACCGCTTAGCGAATCATTTCCGCTAATCAAGAGAACAGGATCAACAACGACAAGAGTCGTCAAGCGGAAGGTGAAATGAGGAAAGACTAATTGAGGACGATGAGTTGAGGTCGGTTGCAACGAATACGATGGTCTGCAGCACAGCACACGTCACACGCCACACGTCACTTTATAGTACTGCGCGGTACTCACCTTCGCCTCGAAGTGAATGCCATGCTGAAACGCGATCTCGTTGTACAAGGGAATGCGAACGTCGTACAGGTCGTCGGTGATTGCATCGTACTGGCCATGTTTGGTTGGCATTTTATCACATCGTTAATCAGCGACAAGCAAATAGAGGCGCCGGACGGAGGTGACGACGCTGAAATCGCAGAGGGTTCACAACTGACCTCCCTTGCGGCTG